CCCTCCAAGTGACAATGTCTTACTAAAGAAAAGCTTACAGTAAAGTTGCTTTATTTAATGCCACCGTTATCCATATCCTAGGCTTCAAAAGGAATTTTTTCCTCAAACAAACAGTGGAAAAGAACCCTCACCCACCCTACACCGGTGGGTTTACTTCTAGAGCTGAAAAACAAGTAACTGGTTTATTAACTCTTTTTTCTTAAAGCACCTGAACCATTTCAGTCTAACAGTTTGCTCCAATTTTTAAGATACTAATGCAAATGTTAGTCTTAAAGCCTCATTTAAAAAAAATCAACCCGTCAACAACATTACCATTCACTTTCCCACACAGAATCTGGTTTTTCTGGTTTTTTCAAATACAATAATTCTGAATGTTCTAAGGGTAATATTTTTATTGCTCTTTAACCACATTACCATTCACTTTCCCACACAGAATCTGTTTTTTCTGGTTTGTTCAAATACAATAATTCTGAATGTTCTACGGGTAATATTTTTATTGCTCTTTTACTATTATATTGTTTTGGTTTATGTATAGTGGAACTATAAATGTAATCTTCTTACCTGTCTTAACCTAAAACAAAAAGGCAGCATCCTCATTCTAGCATTTGCAGCTGTCTTTAATATAATTCCAAAAGTACACACAGATGAAAGCATCAGTTAGAAAGAAATGCTTCAATTTAAGATAGATACCGCATCTAACTTACTGGCAAGCAATCCAATTCCATTTGCTAGTGATCCAACCCAAGCAGTCTTGCCTTTCCCTTCTCCAAAAGCATCCAGCCATTCTACGTACAAGACTCCCACCGCCAGCGGTGAGCCGTAACACAGGAACTGGGTAAAGAAGGAAACGACAACAATCACCCAGCCCCAGCCGCCGTCTGGTGGTTTCCGAAACACCATCTTGTCAGAGGAGTGCAGATGTACCTGTGTAAACAGACAGCAGAACGGAGCATTAGATATGTGACTGGCCCAGGCAATGAAAATTAGTTACCATTTGGTACTTCTACCTCTTCCGCATAACACAGGAACAGTACACGAAGCATTAGTAAGTCACACATACACCATCACTGCAATACAAAGACGGGGAACGTTTCATTTTCTGAGCACTAAATAGGCTTTGTGAAGATCTCAGGCATTAATATCTGCTGCAGTTCGAGGACAGAACCACATTGGCCACCAGCTGTTAAGCCCTCCAATATCCTGAGTGAAGCATATAGCCTTGTAGGACAAGAAAACTTACAAGTATAAAACAATCCCAATAAGCAATTTAGGACTTAAAAAAAAAATCACAAGTATAAAAATATTAGTTCAAGATAAAAAAAAATAAAAATTAAAATCTCCACTTAGCCGTAATCTCAGCACTGTACCTTGCAGTTTAGCAAGGTGTTTGTCACCAGATAGTGTGAGGGGCAGGCCAAGAGGAAGACTGACATTCTAGAAATAGTAACAGTTCAGTACTCTGCTATGTCAGCGAGGTGATGTGTAGAGGAGCGATGCATCCAAAAACCACTTTGTACGTATTAGTAAGTGAAGTGAGTTCTAAAAGTGTACACAGGCATTGGCTTATATGCTAACACATGACAGTATTAAACAAACACACAAAAGTCTCCTATAACCTGTTACAGGTGCAGGTTGACTCTCTGCACAGTTAGCATACGTGGCCCTTCCCCAAACTGGTACTCACTTATTGGACTCCACAAATTCCACCTTACTCCTTTGCATGGCAAGATCCATCATTAATGCATCTATGCCTTTAAATAACTGACTCTCCTCACACCTTCTCAAGACTAGTTTGTGAATGCAGGGCCTGATGCCTCTAGCACCGAGCAAAGAGTTCAGAAATTTCCAGGCTAAACTGCTTTGGAGTTCGGATGGCTCCAATGATACGTGAGTCCCTATGCACACAACTGACCTGCCCTCCCTCTCTACAGGGAGCAATCTGTCGAAGTGATGATCACAAACCCCATGTTCTGTTCCTGGCTCTGTCACTAAACAGGCGTGTGATTCTCAACAATTTTATATCCTTTACCCTGTAAGACAGAAATAAATAAGATCTTACCCTGTTTTCTTCGTTAAATACTCTCAAGGACCATCTTCACACTACAGCTTACAACACCGAGAACAACAGCTCTGCTCTTGGAGACCACAAGAGGCAAAGCAGAAAAATAAATGCATCTCACTGGCTTACAACCCAGAGACCGAGTTCTTCCACTCTTCAGTGAAAGGAAAAAAGTTACTGCTTTATGAAAGGCATGGTGTAATCGAGAAGACAATAACAGAACCTCCATTCACGCTTCCCGCACTCACTGATCAGGCAATTTTTAGGAATTTGCGCAAAAGCTGCAGTATAAAATTTTGAGGAATAATTACTACAGAAACATGAAAAATGCCATTTCTAGTTTACAGACATAGTTAAATGTTACTCTGAGGGTATATACTTACAGATGATGACACAGCTCCCTACAGAAGTACCTTCATGTGGCAACTCTACCTGCAGAAACAGAGCAGTAAAGTCAGTTTTCAGTCAAAGTACCCCTGTGATAGTGAACAAAACTCTGAAAAACTGACATGAATTTTCTTCTTTTTTATTATCTTTTCAGAAGAACTTCAGAAGCAATCAACTTATCTCAGTGGAGAAATACTGATTCCCCTCTCAATTAGTTAACAGCCAAGAGCAGCCTTGAGCTCCAAAATAACAAAAACATAGTCTACTAATGGAAAATGAACTTTGGTGTTCTGGGTCCTTTAGGAGTGATCGACAGTTTTAACATACTGACAGTCCTTCAAGATACAGTATTTCCAGTTACGAATGTTACAGATTTCTATGCTTCAGCTATAAATGCAAGCTCTGATGTATTTCCTCAAATGTCTGGTAAGCACCCCCAGATTACAACAGATGCAAGGGTGACAGCTGGGACAGACAGAAATCATACCATACCATAAGGTATCAAAGCATTTAAAAACTGCTTATAGGTAATTTCCTACAACAATAACCTTTATACAAGAGGAAATCCCCATATTTCTATGCAAAATATTTAAACTATATGTATGCAGTCACCAAAGGAGCTGACATTTGCATCCCTCCATGCATTAAACAAGTACCATTTGGCTTCTTCTGTCCCTGACTGGAGTAAAAATGGTGGAAATAAGTAACAGCTTCAAGAAAAGACACTTCCACGGAGACAAAGAAAGGAAGTTTTCAGAAGATCACTACAATAATGGAAACAGTGAATGATCCCAACTCATATTTGTTTAAAGAGTAAACTTCAGAAAACAAGCACATTTTAGCTGTTATACTGATGTCCACTATATTGACGTCCTAAAATTTGGCAGTGAGACAGCTCTGAGTTCAGTTCTGCTATTCTAAACATTTGATAGGGAGGAAGGGAGGGCAAGGCAGGAAAAAAGTTTTTGTAGCCTTAGGTCACGTAGCCTTTTCTATTAGAAAAACCAAAAAACCCTCTCTGGATCAGTTCCTCATCTGCTGCAAGCCTGCACAGCTTTGCTGACTTTAACCAACTGCTCCCAACTTAGAGCAGTGAAAGAGCTGACCTCCTACATCATGACACCTCCTATTTTGCACCACACGTCTCTTTTGCACCTTTTAGCTAAACAACAGGATTTCAGGTAGCAAAAACATCTCTATTTTCTAAACACTTCAAGCCATTTACAGTCTGCGATTGTAAAGCAAAAGGTTAAAACCCTCATCATTTCCCCCCCCAGAGATTGACCTCAAAGGGAAAACAGATCTACAAACTCCCAGAGTTTGTTTATAAGAGCCAACATCACCTGGCTTGACCTTACCTTTCTTGAGGGTTGCTCCTTCATTTCACACCGCTGTGTACCTATTACCCAAAATAAGGCAGATTTTCGAACTTCTCTGAAGGCACGAAGTCCTCCTGAGGGGAGCACGCAAGCTGAGAGCCCTGTGCAAGGAGCCCGTTCCCCAGAGCCCTCTGCTACGATACATGGTTAAAATGTCCCAGTCAACAGAACTGCTGCTGGGACTGTGGATATCGATACACCTTTTTTTGGTACATTACTTAATGCTTCCCTGAAAATGACAAGTTGTAGTATAAGAGCTTAGTAACACAGACAAGAGAAAACAGTAGGAGCTAAACCTTCACTACTCCCAAAACTGCCTGCATGGGCATCGACCTGGGAGGGATCCAAAGTGCCTTTTACTATTTTCTGTCTGTGTGGAAGGAGGACACAGAATAGATACACATGATCATCAAAAATAAAGATGCAGAAGCACATACGGAAAAGAGCACTTAACAGTTTTGGTTTGTCTCAGGACCAAACAGAAAGACTTGTGTGATCTGGAAAGAGACGAACAACCATGGGTTTAAGATTCAGGTGGAAACCATTTCACAAACCTTACTGTTCACAAAACCTAAGGGTGTTGTTTCAGGCTCCAGGAAACTGAGTCACTTCAAAAATACTGATATGGAGAAATGAAGCATAAAAGAATTAAACAGTAACTTGAAGTTTGGTCAGAAAAAGCTTTCCAGCGAGTCGTACTCACTGGGAATAAGAATCAGAGGAAGAGAGCTGCTTGATGAAAGCCTTTACTAACAACAACAAAAGAAACCCTGGAGAACAAACTGAACAACAACAGTTTTAATGCGGAAAGAGAGAGGTGTCTGGCTGCAACTACTTTCTTTTATCTAAGCAGCTTTATCACAATATCAAGTTCTTTTTCTGTAAATCTTACATTTTGGCTTAAAGATGACAGAGGAGCACAGAAAAAGAACTGGTCTAAAGAACACAACTTTGAAACGTTAGCTCTCAGCACAGAAACTTGTATTAATCTGTGGCAAAGGGAATCTTGAGAAAGACAGTAGCAACATGATTGTTTCCAATTTGTTATTTGTGCAACTGGAGTCCAGTTAAGTATGCTGCCTTCTGCGAGCGTGGCTGCAAAGAAAGCCAATGTCAGCAGAATCACTGTGTGATTAACACTCAGCTATTCCAGTTTTGCAAGGCACTGGTACGAATTAAGACAGTACCAGCCAGGATGGCAATATTCCCCATTTTAAGCTGAATTAGATTTCACATAGATTTCTACTTATTTTTCAGGCAATGGTCTTCCAACTGTCATCGGAAGTTTCTGCTACCCTTAGCTTGCAAGCAGTAACACCTGGAGCTTTAAGACTGGCAGTGATACGCTACCGCTGTTTCTAAGGTACTCGTATGCAAACACCTGCATGCACACTGGCACGACGGTATAAGCACTACATTAAATGCACCAAAAAAGACACATCTGTACTTTGGCAACATCAGACTTTAAGTCATGTTCCAACTGCAGTAGCTCCCCACGTTTTAGTATTTGTCTAAGTTCTTTTATACTGAATAGATTAATATTCCCTTCTCAGTTCTCAGCATTGAAGTCTACCTATTTCTCATGCTTCTCTACTTTCCTTTTTCTAAATTATGCAAGAGGCTTATCGACATAAATATTTCCTTCCTCTTCTGCATGGCTAGGGACAAAGCATAGAGTTTAAAACAAAATACCAGAACAAAACTTATGCACAACATATTAATGTTTTTCCGTCGTGCAAAATAAGTTCACATAAAGAAGCATCAACCAGGGAAGCACACAAATGAGCCAGCTTTGTATAAATCTGTCAGCTCAGCAGAACCAGTCCTACCTGTTTCCAAGAGCCTCTCTGGTCCAGAGGGGATGGAAACCACCCCCCCGCCACAAGTCTAACAGCCTGCTAGACACTAGCACGCATCCATACAGACAAATGTAAGCCAGCACTGCTATAAACCACCAGCCAACGTGATTTACCAGAAGAGAACAACTCTGCCAAACAAGAGTGAGCTGCCTCACGCATCCCAACCTGCAAGACTTCCCCTCGCTGTCCGCTCTCTCAACCAGTCTGTGTCCCTTA